ACTCTACTCTCCACCAATATCGACCCCCGCGACCATGCTTTCATCCTCGGCTCTACAAATCCTACTCTTAAGCCCCTCAACGATCTCATGATCGCCGCTGAGGGTGCCGGTAAGAGTGGCGTTGAGCTGCAGCGCATTGAAGATGAGTGGCTTGCCAAGGCTAACCTCAGCCGCTTCGACGACGCCGTTGCCGCTGCCATTGATGCAGGCTCTTTCTCCGACAAGGCTGGTGTCAAGCGAGACTATCTTACCAAAGCAAAAGGCAAGAGTAACCTTGAGGCGAGGGCCATTGCTCGCCAGGTACTTGGCCATGATGTCTTTTTCGACTGGGACGCCCCCCGTACACGCGAGGGTTACTTCCGCCTCAAGGGTGGCTGCGACTGCGCTGTGAACCGAGCCATCGCATATGCTCCTTATTGCGATGCCATTTGGATGGAGTCTAAGCTACCCGACTATGCTCAGGCTCAGGAGTTTGCCGAAGGTGTCCACGCTGTCTGGCCCGAGAAGAAGTAAGTCTCTACCAACCTACCAAATCTAAGAATTTTAAATTGACATTGGTATGACTAGGCTCGCCTATAACCTCTCTCCATCCTTCAACTGGAAAACTGCCATGCCTCGTGACGAGCAGGAGACCTACATTCGTCGCCTGGCTAAGCTTGGCTACTGCTGGCAGTTCATCACGCTTGCAGGCCTACACACAACAGCGCTTATAAGCGACCAGTTTGCCAAGGCATACAGCACCGTTGGTATGCGCGCTTACGGCGAGCTCGTCCAGGAGCCTGAAATGGAGCAGAAAGTCGATGTTGTTAAGCACCAGAAGTGGAGTGGCGCAACCTACGTCGATGAATTGCAGAAGATGGTTACAGGTGGTATCAGCTCTACGGCTGCTATGGGCGCCGGCGTGACTGAGGACCAGTTCAAATAAATCGCCGCTGGAGAGGGGGAGGTGGATAACATCAGATTACATAAATGAATTAAGGTCAGCATGGGTGGAGCAATGACTGAAGATTGTGGGAGAGCAAAAAAAGAGCGGCAAGTTCTTTGTTTTTTGGGCATTTTGATATCATACTGCGGGTTTCTGATTTTTAGCCTTGTCATATTACTTTGCATACGGCAAACATTTGTCTTGCTATATACCACTAGTGCATTAAGCAAGAAAACATTGTCAGAAGCAGTTGGGATCTTGATAATGCTCTGCAAAGCGCCTTAATGAGCGACTATGTGCACACCATTATATATGATTGCTCGAATGCATGTTTGAAAGAAAAAAGTTGTTTGACTCGACTTCAATATATCCTTCTGTGCAGGATAGATATCCTGCGCCTGACCAATCACCCAGTCGTAACTATGAAAATGAAAAGGAAGAAGAAAAAATGAAATTAAAGGGGGAAGGCAAAGGATTCGTCCAAAATCGTAGCAGCATAATGTGTCTATATAGCCCAAGTATCAAAGTTAAACAGTAAGGCGCCCGTTATAAAAATGAAATGAAAGATTGGAAAATGGAACAATGAGACAGATCCCCTTGGTTCTATGGCGTCCAACGTCCAGAGTATTACACCAGCAACATTTCCCTCAGATTCCTTTCGTTTGGTACAGTAATGGCTGCAAATCCTCTGGAACCCCAGCAGTAAACCACTTGCTCTTTCATGGAACAAATTTGAATGTATGTATTCTTAGGGTCGCCTGGCAGGGTAAGAAGCAGGGCTAATATGCTCGCAGTCAAAAAATATTTCGTGTCCACTGGTGTTAGTTTGGAGTATCGGTGCCCATTTGGAAACGATGTTTCTTAATCAGCCTCAGCAAGTTGCATGATCAACTTGGCGGCCATGTCCAGGAAGGGGAAGGGGCTGGTAACGTCTTTTTCCTCGAGCAGTCGGCCATGGGCTGTCTCGTATCCAGAGCACTTGAAGTCGACCAAGTACACGCCATGTTCCATTTCGTAAATTTGTATGTCCATATGTAGCGCAACGAAAGGCTCTTTGGGGTGATAGTGGCCCTCTGGCGTACCGGGCGAGCTGGGGGTGCTAGGAACGCTGGCCGCCTTCTTCTTTATAGCTACAAGATGTCAGTTCTAATAATTCAAGTACAACCGATTTGAGAACCAACCAGAAGTATCCCAGCGCACATTGATATGCCAAGGATCTGCGGGAAGATTGTAACGTTTCTTAGGATCGATGCTTGAACTCGAGCCCCGATTATTATCATGAGAATCCGCAAAGCTACCTTCGCCTGAAGCTTCAGCTCGTTCCTCTGCAGTCCTTGATTCGTAGTCTTCATCGGGGATATATGTGGCGCCCAATTTATGAAGTGCCTTGTGGATGCACAGAAGGGCTTCCCATGGCGAGTTACGTGATCGTATGCCGAACTGCCAGCGCACTGGCTTATTCTTTTTAGGGGGGTTGATAGGAGTCATGCCTTGGGGCCTTGTATTAGCTTCGTCCATGCGCAACTGACTTCTCGAGTGGGGTCGTAAACGGCGCGCTGTTTCTTCCTTTTCCGCATCTGTCCTGTTGCTAGGAGGTTCATCGTTGATAAGTACTTTGGGTGGTGAATTTTCGACGCTACCAGCCTTCTCCCGCTCCATATAGTCCTTGTGGTACGCTGGTAAACTTGAAGGCAAGATACCAACCTTGCTCACGTACGGGCGAGGGGTGGTGGTAGCCTGAGAAGTCGTTGAGCGGGCAGAAGACATGCTTAACATGGGGCTTGATCCCTCGGGCTCTGCTAGCAGGGCTTCAGGATTATCTAAATCAGTTTCAATACACCAAGAAATTAGCAAGAAAAAGAGAGAGAAACTCACGGTTCACTTGCATCATCTTGTTTTCCCTTACAATCATGTAGGCGTCCTTGATTGCCGACGGCTCGGCAGCCTGCAGGGCCTCCTCTACATCACTCTTACCATAACCCATGGTTTTACTGATCTTTTCAGTAACCTCATTATGCAATCTCTCTTGAACCTTCTCTGAAGCATTCGGCGCGATGTCGTTCTTCTTAATGGCCTTGTTTGGATCCACACCAGTGTTGAAGAACTCTTCGACGGGAAGTTGGAGATAAGCAGGCAGATCGGTGGTGAACCAGGGATCGGCTCGGATATCCTCAATTGTAGCACGATGTACAGGGTTCACCACCAGCATCTTCTTGATCAGGTTTGCAGCACCCGTAGGCATCCATTGCGGTATGCTGTATGTGCCCTTTGCAATCTTGGCAAACAGACTGGGAATGTGTTCATCGTCGAAGGGAAGTCGGCCAACCAAAAGAACATAAAGAATAACACCGCAGCTCCACACATCGACTTCGGGACCAGCATATAACTTGCCACCAATGACTTCAGGAGCAGCATAGTTGGGACTGCCACAGCTTGTCTTGAGAAAGTTACCGTCCGTCATAATATTACTCAGGCCGAAATCGGCGATTTTGACGTTGAGGTTTTCGTCGAGTAGCAAGTTCTCGGGCTTTAAGTCACGGTGAACAATCTTGTGTCGATGGCAATATTCGACGGCACAAAGCATCTGCTGAAAGAAACGGCGAGCTTCAGGTTCCTTCATCCGGCCATGTTGAACAATGTAGTCGAAGAGCTCGCCGCCAGCATATTCGAGGACCATGATGATTTCATTGGGTGTCTTGATAACGGTGAAACTAGAAGAGTGATGTCAGTTGAAACGATCCCAAGGTATTCAGTCAGGCTTGAGTGCGCAACGTACAGTTTAATAATATGAGGATGGCGTAGCAGTTGTAAGTATTCGATCTCACGCTCAACGCGCCCAGCCATATCGCGGCTGATAAGCTTCTTTCTGGCGATAATTTTGAGGGCAACTTGCTGGCCGGTTCCATTGTGAATAGCAAGCTTAACCTTGCCAAAAGAGCCCTCGCCTAAAGTTCGAAGGACCTTGTAGGCGCCGATGCGCTGTTCCGTCTTGATCCTTTCCTTGAGCGGCGCATCGGCGGGGCGGGAACCAGGTGGAGGAGCATCACTGGACGCGTGCTGCTGCTGCTGTGACTGTTGTTGTTGCTGCTGTTGAGGGCGACGAACGTGGGAGGAGGATAGGGAAATGGTGAGCTCCTCATCCTCGAAACCTCGGGGAGCCATGGCGATGTGATGCCTTGACCCAAGGTCAAGGCGGGTCAGGTCGAAAAGTGATCGGTCGGCGGGGTTTTCGGAGCTGCAGAGCTTTTGGTTCGGTTGTCAGGAACTGGGTGCGACGGTCGTACAGGTATCACAGGGATGGTTGTATTAATGAAGGGAGCGCGGGGTGGTTTGATGTAAAAGAGAAGAATGGATGGAAACGAAGCGGCGAAATGGAAGAGGTGGGTTGCCGGTTATTCTAATAGCGTATCATAATGTTGTGTATTCCTTAGTGGTGTCGAAGTTGCAGAGCTCAACTGGCCTGGGGTAGATAGTTGTCACTGTTGTGGAGGGGTCAGGTCAGTGGAACCAGACATGGCATGGGCTAATAACTCTGTCACCATCACTTTATAATGAAGATGATTACCAGTATTTCGCAATATGGATATGTCAATGGTCGACGGAGGAATTTATCGCAGAGAAAGGTCTCAAGTTATCGTACTTGAACGTATCAGATACTCACCTTGGCTTTTCCTCGTATGTTATATTAGAGAACCTATTTTCTTCCTCATTTGTTGCTTCCATTCCTGTTGTCTGCCCCGTCACATAACAAAATCATTGGTGTCTTGCTGGTAGTCGTGTCAATCAGCCCATAGCCTCGTAAGCTAAATAGTCTTTACTGTCCTACACCAACCAACACTTCCTATGCTGATGACGTTGAATTCCCAACAAATCGGTCCTCAAAAACTCTCCTGATATAGGCTCACGAAGAATCAGATCGAAGTGTGTTTCTGTGAGCCAAAAAGATCTGATATCAAATTACAATGTCAATATCACGCTTATTTATTGCCCCTCTCTAGTTATTAAACAGTCAAGCATGAAAACTTGACATGCAAGCATGGTTCTGGTCTCAGAATAGCTCTAACAATGGTAAAAATGTCATACAGTATTGTTACACTCATCTCTACAGTCGTGATATACAAGTGGTTTTCTTCCAGTTCCAGAACTTTTGAGCATGATCGGCTCCCTCAATCGATTCCCTTTTTACTTATTCGACATGGCCATGCATGTTATCCCTTCCACCAACTTACTTACTTTTGTTTGACTTCCTCTTGCTTTAGTCTCTCCACCAACTTTGTTTGCAAGAATGGGCTGAGCCCCAGGCTTGACAAATTGTTAGCAACTCGACATGACTGTGTTCATATCTCTAGACTTACATTCCCTCGTTCGTCAGAATACGGTACGTTCCACTTGGCTGTACTTTGCCAATGATGGTACCGGCATCGTCCACCTCAACACTTCCCAAGATGTCCTCAGGCCACGCAATTCGTCCAAAGTCGGGAGGATTCCTTCGGTCACTTAGGTGCACATATCCACCTCTTCTACCGCCACCGGCTCCTCCTTGAGCGCTGGCGCCTCCTGCACCGTCACCTCCAGCTCCCCCTCCAGCTCCCTGCTTGCGAGATCCTCCTCTATTAGGTCGTTTCTGTGAGAAAAAGGCTCCGCCTGAGCCGAGATTGAAACCTCCCGGACTGGCAAATGCGCGGGCTTGATTGATAAGGTCCTCATCTTCGTGACCATACTCGGATATTACCTCGTTGAGAATCTTGACGAAATCTTTGTTCTCAGTGAAGGACTGAGGAGTGGGAGGGAGCTCGCTAGTAGTTCCAATCGCTAGGCGCTCGTTAGGCGGTTCCTTCTCGAGGTAGCTTAAGTAGTTTGTAAAAGGAGATTTAGGATTCTTCACAACTTTCTTCAATATGGTCAGCAAGTTTATGAAGTGGTACTGGCTTGGGTATTGAATACAAACAATTTTGGGGTTGCTAGAAAGACTTGATATGGCTCTGAAAGGCACAGCCCTCTGGCGAGCAACGTTTCGAAATGTCGACCCTATCATTCTGTTGTTGGTCGGAATTTAGATCACTTTACTACTGTTTCTGTAGTCCAATGCAAGGATAAATGAAGGCTATCATTGTGTTGACTCGACCTTGATCATGGATGAGGTCATTCGTAGGCACCTCGTACAAACACGATATATGCTTGTATAGGACATATGTATCAAACGAAATCAATTAAACGCGTCTACGCGGTCGGCGCGAACCCTTGAAGGATGACCTACAAGGTAGGCGAATCAACCAGAGCACCGTATGTGAAATTCAGTCAACAAACAACGTCAATTCAATATACAAAAGGTTGATAGTTTTACTCTGTCATGCCAAGCTAGTGCTCCAGATCATGGATAAAACACCAGCTCCTATATTCCGAAAACAACGAGGGGCGGTCCCTCCGTCTACTGCGATACCATCTTCATCTCCCGCTTTCGGTACTCCCATCCATCCACTGAAACCATTTGCCGTCAATGCTCCCAAGGCTGCTATATTACCGATCATCCTCCCTCCTCCGACACTTCGGCCGCTCGCTTTCCGTACATTTACAAAAAAACATTCTTTAACACTGACATCGTCTGCTCTTCAAGAACTGGCTTCCTTCATTGGAAGGCATTGTGGTTCAGGATGGCGTGAAGAAGGTTTGGCCGAGCGGGTTCTTGAAGAGGTTGCGCGAAGCTGGAAAAACCGCAATGGAGGTGTCATTGTCGACGGCTCCAGTAAAGAGCTCCAGGAAATTCTCAAGACCCTCGAGGGTAATATGAGCGGCGGCAGAATCACTGGCCCAACAAGAGGACTACCACGCGGGGACAGTATGCTTGATCTCAAAGATAACGAGACCTTGAACACACGGTTGGGACTACGGCCGGCAGAAATCAGAAGGGAGGATAGCAACACAAGCTTCGGCATGTCGGGACTTGGTGTGGATGAGGAGCAAGAAGAAAGCGAGACAAACGATCCTCGAGCATGGCTTAAGATTATAGATGCATATGACCAACCCAGATTCATATACAACGTTGGCAAAAAGCACTTTGAAAAGTCAGTCTATTTGATGGGTCAACTTAATTTACGACTAACATTTTCTAGGGATGCCTCAAAGCCTTCATTGCTGCCACCGGCATCACACAAAACAACGGTTTTTCGCAATCGCTACAATGTAATCCATCAACGTCTTCTCCGCAACGAAACCTTCCAGTCCTCAGCAGTCTCCTCCTCTCGAAAACAAAGCCTGAACCGTTCGCTTTCCAACCAGCATTCGCTTAAACTCACGCCAATCGCGAACCTCCTTGGTCGTCATGGCAGCAGCCATATGTTGCTAGGGCTCCTGGTTGTCCTTCCTACCGGCGATCTTGCCATCAGCGACTTGACTGGTACTATTGCTTTGGATCTATCCCAAGCGGTAGCTATCCCGGATGATTCAGCATGGTTTTGTCCTGGTATGATCGTGCTGATTGACGGTGTCTACGAAGAAGAAGACGAATCTGTAGGCAAGGGTCTAAGTGGCAGCAGCGGCGTTGGAGGTACATTAGGTGGTCGTTTCCAAGGCTTCTTTATAGGCCAGCCCCCATGTGAACGTCGTCAAGCGACTCTGGGCATTAGCGGACCCGACGGTGGCCAGGAGCAGACCATAGGAGGAGGCTTTGGCTGGATCGATTTCCTGGGCGTGGGCAGCGAGCGTGCCGTGGGTACCAAGATGCGCAGGCTCGAAAAGCGGCTTCTCCACAGTAGAGCAGAAGAAGATACTGCGCCATCTCGAGGGCGCGTCGTTATTATTGGCGAGCTGAACCTCGATCAACCACGAACTCTTCAAGCCTTGCGCAAGATCCTCTCAGGATATGCCTCGGAGCCTGAGGGTTCAACGCCTCTAACATTCGTGCTGATGGGTAACTTCACTCAATACGCTGTTTTGGCACGCGGAGGCAGTGGCGGAAGTATCGAATATAAGGAATACTTTGATGCCCTGGCTTCAACCCTGGGAGACTTTCCGACTCTGCTCCAGTCGTCTACCTTCGTCTTTGTCCCCGGAGACAATGACGGATGGGTCTCGTCCTTTACAGCTGGCGCCTCTGTTCCTTTGCCGCGAAAGCAAGTACCAGACATGTTCACGTCGAGAATACGTCGAGCCTTTGCGACAGCCAATGCGGAAGCGGGAGGGAAGTCAAATGGTGCTGCTGTATGGACCTCGAACCCAAGCCGAATCAGTTTATTCGGCCCCAACCATGAATTTGTCATCTTCAGAGATGATGTATCTGCTCGTTTGCGCCGAGCCTCTGTCCGTTTAAAACCGAAGGCCAAGGATGCCAGTGGAGAAGAGGCACCGGATTCAAGTGCTGACCCTCCTGAAGATGTTCAGCCGATGGACATCGATGCTGCTCATCATGATGAACCTACCGCTACCGCTAGCGGCTCGCCCGCCACACCTCTCATTCCTCACGACGTTCATGCTGCCCAGAAACTTGTCAAGACTATTCTTGATCAAGGCTACCTCGCACCATTCCGCCAGGCTATTCGCCCCGTCCACTGGGACTACTCCTCAGCATTGCATTTATACCCACTTCCTACAGCCATGGTTTTGCTTGACACAACAGCCCCACCGTTTTGCATCACATACGAGGGGTGCCATGTAATGAACCCAGGCAGTGTGCTCGTACCAGGACGCAAGGGAATCGCTCGATGGGTCGAGTATGATGTTGGTCGCCTAGGCAGGTTAAGGGAATGTACAGTTTAGAATGTACGCCCAAATATACATATTATTTAGTTTGCTGCTATCGATGGCTACTGGCGTCAGAGGATTAAGGGACATACAGGGTAATGATAGGTACGATAGACAAGCCGTACGAAAATAGCTAGCTTTCGATCATCACGAGCACTCAGCAATATCTAAACTCAATCATAAAATGCTGGCTTTTATTTACCCACACACGAGAAAGAATACACAGAACACAGAAAGCACGCCAATTCACCACGCGATGAACACTGAAGTTTGGTATCATGGATGACTAAGTATGCAAAATACCATTTTCCACCTGTTAAACAAGCCTTCCTCCTCTACTGCAGCAGCAGAGCTTCCTCGTGCAAGACTCCATACAGGGCTTCAATCTCGGCCCTCACCTTGTTTAATTCAGCTGCCACTTGTAGCGTCACGAGTGTGTATGCGTACAGCAGCGCATAGTCACTCTCTTGAACAACCAGAGGGGACTCGTCACCCAAAAGATCCGTATTCATGTGCTCCTTGCGGAATTGGTAGATTTTCCCCAAGAGTCGGTCTTTGTTGTTCTCAACTGTAGGGATGGCGTCCGTCAAAGGGTACTCTAGCATAAGGCACGAAGCGATAACTTGAAAGACGTGACATATGCGCTGGCAAAGAAGAGCTCTCTCTGTGCTTGTGTACTCTAACAATGCCCGCTCGCCTTCTGTTAATTGATTCCGCTTTGATGTGATGAGACGCATGGCATAGAAACCATTAAGCATGTTTTTGGTGGAGCGCATGATGCGCCCATAAGCTGCGTCTGGGAATGGACCTCGAAGCTCAAACTCGGACTTCGCAGCCGTTCGCAGGCTTGCAAGTTTGAAGGCTGTCACAGAGTTAGCGTAAATATGAGAGATGCGGCAGCGGGTGCCTACCATATCGCTGAAGAGCCGCCTGTTCGCCCTCGCGCATGTAGTCAAGCGTGTTGTTATGTGTGCTATCCTTATTAAGCGACACAGTAAGAGGGCCACGCTTCCATATGAGACCCATTTGAAGATACAGGACAGAAAGTCCTTCACGGAACTTCTTTCGACCAGAAATCGGCCAGAGGACCCGGCAAACAACAATACCCCATACGATGCCTAGAGTGACCGCAACAACTCGATGCCAGGCAATGTCGAAGATCAGAGGGTTGGATCCTCCCTCGTCATCATCGTCATCGTCGACATCTTGCGAGATGCTGTAGGCATAAAGGGTGCTCACGTTGTATGCCAGCAAAGCAATTCTACCCAGTGGAGCTTTCTTGATGACCAAAATCACATAGAAGTTGAACAAAGCTACAAGGCCGCCCAGAAACACCAGTGCAATGCCATTTCCTTGGCTGACAGTCCAGCACACCACGGCAAAGGCTGCGCCAATGAGGGTACCTTTGAATCTGGCAGTTCCAGTAGTATTCGCTGAGCCAGTTGTCATAGCCGCCACGATCATGAAGGAAAGGAGACCCCATTCACCTCTCCATGTCTGGTAAATAGGTCTTGTGCTTGGTATGAAAGCAAGCATGGCCCAGAGAAGAGCACCAATACCAACTTTGATACCAAAAAGAATGTCCTCCCGTACGATGAATCGGGAAATCTGGAGCATTTTCTGAGCGACTCTTCTTTTGACTCTGCTAGACTGTGGAGCAGCATCCCAGTTGAAGGTATCTCGCCGTGCGACCATTGTATCTGGAATACCTTTGGGCATTTGAGATTTTCGCAGTCTCGGCACAGGTGGTTTCTGTATCAAGCTCTCACGTTCCGGATCTTCAACCCTATCTTTGTCTAAAGGTCCAGTCCGGCTGAAGTACCTCCAGAATTTGAGCCAATTCCAGGAACGCGGCGCCGTCTCAGTCGTGTACTTGATGTCCTCTAGCACATCCAAATATGCATCAGTCTCTTCAGCGACAGCCTGTAAACTGAAAGAGAAGTGTCCACAGGCTGCAGCAACTTCTTCGATATCAGCTTGAATCTTCTCAGATCGAGCACGTCCGATCTGGATGGTACGGTAAAGCTCCTGCAACGACTCTGATCTTGCGTTGTTGTAAAGATTGAGAGCATCACGAAGGCTCTCCCTCAATTGTTCGTTCACCGTGATATCTTTGTTTGGGTCCTGACCAAAGGCAGGCTCACGCAGGATTTCTGACAATGTATGAGCCAGCGACTTGATTGACGGACCGAGCATGTTTATGAAGAGGGCAAAGATGTCAGAAGGCTCTTGGAAAGCGGGGGCTACGTCCAGAGCGGTATCCGACTTGTTTCTCGCCGCCAGCCGTTCTTCCTCACTCTCTCCAGATTCATCAATATCAGACAATGTTTGCCCTCCACCATCAATATATGCAGAAATGGCTCGATTCAAGGTGGATGCCATGCCTGTAGGCTTCGGTGAAGGGAAAGTATCTTCCAGGTTGGGAACCTCTCTGAGTAGAGTGAACTGGTTTTCGAGCGCACTTCGCAGTCCTCCTATGGCTTGGGAGAGTGCCTCAACCGATCTTGACAGACGTTTATCAAGCGGATAAAATGTTTCTCGGCCCAGGAAGAAGTACTCAAACTTGGCTTCTCGGAGTGTTGAGTTCATCGTTGTATATGCGCTGTTGTACCGAGCAGAGACTCGGCCATACTCGCTTGTCCAGAATTCATCTTCAGTTCCACTGAGGAACCCTTTTGTGATGGACGATAATTTGTCGCCTAGAGAGCTGGTGGCGGTCATGATGGACCTGCGAAGCACACGCCTCGCCGAGATTCTCCAGACTAATACATTAACTGTAAGAGTGCAAGTGATACCAATAAGAAGCAGTTTCAAGACCTGGACGATCTTGTCGTCGTCAAAGTAGCCTCCCTGTACGCCCTCCTCTTTGGTGATTACGGAGATGATTGCGATCGATGCCAAGGTTGAGCCGACGTTAACGAGGGGGCTGTTGAGTCTTTGCTTGACCCAACCCACAAAGCCCAGTCCTCCTCCGATGCAGATGATGAGGATCAGTACATGAGCAGCGGCAGTCAAACCGAGTTGGGATCTCATGGCAATTGCAATTCCCATCGATAGCAACGATATGACTTCCGCGTAAAACACAGCAACGACTGCTATAACGGTCGCCTCAAGCATAGAGCCAACAGTTCGTGCTGGGTGGAAGTAGACAGTAATGGTAGCAGAGACATGCTTTCCATCTCTGTTGCCAAGAAAGGCTGTCAAGGGTGGGAAAAAAGTACCCATACTACCAAGTACGTAGGCAAGTGTACACTTGAGAACTCCATGGCCTTCTTCAGTATGTAGCCATAGCCATGTCAAGATGAATGCGGTTTTGACATTATGTGCGATGATATGGATGCGGTCACCAATAGATTCAGCAGCCTCGAACGATTGGTATTTCGGTTTCTTGTGGTTATCGTCTGCAACTACTGCGTTGGTAGATGTGCTTAACGAGAATTCCGACCTCGATCGTTCGCCAGTCCTGGGAATGATAAAGGTTCCGTTCTTCAATTTCTGCCCGATGTATCAGATATCTGCCCATTCTCGCCATCATACACGCAGGAAATTATAGAGCGAGTGATTTCGTACCGTTCGCTGAGAAGGTCGCTGTTTAGGCGGCCACGCCAGGTTAGAGGAACCTATGGCGGAGCTCATGGTTGGTTGTTTTGGTAGTACTCGTGTCTGGAGTGGCGAGATGATGGTGAGGCGCGCTTCATTCTCCTAGATCTTAGAGCTCCATAAGAACAGTGGCAATCGTGGCAGTATCGGCAGTCTGATCTCCACAGGGCCCGTTCTAAAAGTCGGCGGTTTGAGATGGATAAGCCCTTACGGTCATTGATTGTTGTATTTTTGGTGTATAAAGTAGAAAGCCCAGGGGCAGGTATTGTTGGGTTGGAATCGAGTATATGGAAAGCAATGCAGCTTACGGAGTATTATAGTCGTGAAAATAAGGATGACGCTGAGCATGCATGCACCCCGGGCAGCTAGTGTGGGGCTTCGATCAGCTATCAAGACGGCCTCGTATTGGCTGTATCTCAAGCTACAGAAAGACGGGAGTAGCTTAAAAGCTTGATTGCCCGAAGACTCGATTACAGGCAAATATGTATTATTCCAACGACTGACTAAAGCTTGATAGAGGTACGTGGCCACACTTTTGAAACAATTTAGAGAGGTAAGTACATCGAACTTTCTCTTCCATGCCAAGCTTCCATATGAACAGTTCTCAGCGAAGATTGCGTGTTTTATTATTCAACAGAATAGTCTGGATTTTTCTGTGACCCCCTAAACCAGGGAAACACTTCTAAAGAGATCTCTTAGCCTAATGCCTAGTGGGGCTATATGCACACTTGCCGGCTGCGCCCGTTGCTTAAACGCGGGCTGGCGGGACAAGCATGAGATCTTGAGGGCCAAACGGTTTCGTCCAGCCATCCAAGCTCGTGGCTAGTCACAAGATCATCAGGAACGGAAAAATAGTGTCAGAGGACTAGCACGCCTATGACTGTGGCAGACACTAAGCAGACAAACCTGTAACAACATCGACACCTGTGTGTTTTTTGTTCCCTCGTGTGACTCGAAACTCGACCCTTTCACAATGGCCGTAGAGTTGGTCCCAGTCATTGATCCAATGGAATAAGCACGATCCGCATCCGCTCCTCGCACCGAAAACGTTCAACTCGACTAGTTGCGATGTCTCGTCTGTCTCGTCGTAAAACACATCGAACGGCAGCCCTTGCTTTGAAAGCAGCTGATCCAACCGGTCATTCGGATCCAGATCATGTAGGATTGATTTGTGAATCTTCTGGATTCCCTCCCATATTTGATCCACTACTCTTGTCTGATTTTCGAGCTCTTCACGATCAAAGCGCCAAGGTTTATGCCAGCAGTATTGACTTACTGCGGAGATGGCTACCGTCTCTGGTGCACAGTAGACTCGGTATTCCTTTTCGCTCCCCATACGTTTATTGAATGGAAGGAAAGTCAAGTCGACAGTTGGATTTCCCTCTTCAAGACTCTTTGATATTTCATTCCGTGCTCGCTGCGATGTGATCAAGCGAATGACTATATCGTTTGGGGAGTGATGAGAGCCTACCCGGTACAGCTTGGCAACCATCTTTAGGTGAGCAACGATCCAAACGCATGAAGAGACCTTCGGCGGGGAACTCAAGAGACGATAGATGCGGGATGATTTCTTCCTGTATGTCTTCCTGATATGCTCGGTTGTGTTCACCAGTGATGATCGAGGTGCCTGAGGCTGCTACGACGAGCTTGGCCTCTGCTCGTGTGAGTTTGACAATTTGTGCAGCCTTTGGATCGAGTTTTCGTGTTTTCAAAACCAGGGGTAGCCATCGCTCGAAGGAGTAAGGTGCTTCTGACGGGCGTGAAAGATGATTAGTGCTCCCGTGTACTGGAATTTCTTCGACGGTATGAAAGCAGGTGTTGAACTTGGTAGGCGGTACATTCTGACAGTCTGATTCGACCTCTTCGTAGTTGGTTTGTGCGAGATGCATGTTTTTTGTTGCATTTCCATCCATAGTCGATTGATCCCAGGAAAATACAATCCCGGGGTGAAGGAACTAAGTTTGAATGAAAATATGTTCACTTGCGAGGTCAATTATTGACTGTGGTGTTACACCCACCATCTAACGGCGGGACGCCACTTCGACAAACCCACAGAAGAAATCTAGCGTTATGAGCAGACTTCACCTCATCCCAAAATTGAGGTTAATGTTCTAACCTGCATCTAAGCGGACTTTATTATTACTGTTATTCTACTTGATTCGTTCATTTGAATCCCATCATCAAAATATGGACCTTCCCGAGCTCGACTTGCAAGGAGCAGCTATCCGCTCTCCTGATTGTTGTCTGAGCCTTTCGTCCAAATTATTCTGCAACCTAATCAACACAATCCCCAACACCACGCTTTCAGGAGAAACGCCAACTGTGCTTTCGATCGGAAGCGGATCCGGACTACTGGAAGCCCTCTTCCTCGCTTATGTAAACTCACAACGCCAACGTGGTAGCTCTGATCATGCTGTGGTTAATATGGAAGGAGTTGAAGTTCAGCAGGTAGGTATGAAAGACCATGTCAACAGCTATCTTCCAGAACAAGCCATACACACTGTTCGTGGTAGTTGGGATGTCGTATCGAGGCTGCGGGATTCGGATGTGACAGCTCTGATGTTCGTCTATCCACGCCAACCTGCTTTAATCTCGCAATATATAAACGTCATCGCTGAGCAGGGCCTGAAAGTCGAAGTCATTCTGTGGCTGGGGCCTATGGCTGACTGGGAGGTATTTGAGCCTTGTTTCAACACCGGACATGAAAGCTGTCAGTTTGTGGTTGCTGAGACGAAACATGGTAGCGAAGTTGGACTTGAAGAGTATGAATCTATGGCAGTGGTGAGGAAAACAGACTATAGTACCCTTAAGAAGCCGGTTTACTAGCTAGCAGAGTTTTCGGCAAAGGTTGAGAATGATAGCTGGTATTCGTCAAGATGAGTGGAAGAGAATGGAAGAGACGCAATGATAAACTCTGGAGAAATTTTAGTATACCGTAACGATATATTAGAAATATCCATTATATCTCGGTATGAAGAAGTACAGTGACAGCATGAATCAGCCCTGCCTACGTAAGTGCTATCAAGTGCTTTATTATCCAAACGGTGCATTGGTATCTGATACTAATAAAGCATCTGTTAAATTTGATTATTGAAACTGTGACCGGCATTTCTATCTTTTGTGTGGCAATGTACTGTGGTCAATAATGGTATTGGATAGGTGTAGTCCCTGAAACATGTAGGTAAATAAGTAGGTAAGTAGGCAAGGGAAGGTAAGAAACTCTTAGCCCCGAATTCTCCCTGTCTCCACCTCAATAAGAGCGTCATCTCTGAGTCAAAGCACTCATTATCATTGTTAACTGCTCTCAATTTTATCATCGATGAGAGGAAGAAACCAAGGAGAGATAATTCATTGACTCCGTATAATTTCATATAGATTTCCTAAGAATTCTCGACCTTCACAGCAACCTTCTACTATCATCCTTGCGTGTGATCTCAATCATGAAATCGTCACATCCGAAGCGATTCATACCACTGAAGAAGGGCAAGCATAGCTTTCCTGCCGGCACCCCCAGTCTTCAAGGAGTGGTCTTTGATATGGATGGCACGCTTTGGTAAGATCTGCACTCGCTCTACTCTATGTTTTGTGGTTCGGAAGTTTCCCGGACATAGCCCTGACCCAAGTATCTCCTACAAACAAGAATACTTGATGATATTCTTTGTTCCGCTGTCCGACATGGACGAAAGAAGTACATGATGATTCACCTCAGCGTACAGATTATTCTCAATATATTAGGAGAAGTTGGCACAACGAACGCATCGCTAACCCAATATATAGCGAGCCTCAAACATACATGTTCAAGGAAATGAGAGATGTTTTAGGAATTACCAAAACAACAGACATCCTCGAGCACATTGATACTCTCCCAAGATCCGAGCAAGCGACTGCCCTTGAGTCTATCCGGAATATTGAGCGCGAAGCCATGAAGACCCAGACTCCTCAACCAGGTCTTATGACACTCATGGCGTACCTCGACGCCAATGCCATCCCCAAGGCTATCTGCACCCGCAACTTTGACGTCCCTGTTCAGAACCTAATGGATAAGTTTCTAGAGGGCTCTCGCTTTCATCCCATCGTGACGCGAGACTTCCGCCCTCCCAAGCCTGATCCTGCCGGTATCCTGCACATCGCAAAGAACTGGGGCTTGCAGGGCGAATCTGGCGAGGGTGACGCCAGTGGTCTTATTATGGTGGGCGACTCTATCGATGACATGACCGCAGGCAGAAAGGCGGGCGCGGCTACTGTGCTGCTCGTGAATGACGTAAATCGAGCATTGGCTGAACATGCCCATACTGATCTGGTCATTACTACGCTAGATGAGCTCGTTGACATCCTTGAACAGGGCTTTGTCGGAAGAGACGCTGGTCCAGAATAGCAAGAAAGCGACGTGGGACTCTGTCAGCTCACAGATGTTAATCACAACCTGTCACACCTCTTTTCGCCGACTTTTGATCTTAAGGTGCCAACTCAACCGCGAATTGATTTAATTTAGGTTTCCTACATGGGCCCGGTTTCTGTACATGACTCTCCTCCACACTAGACACAGCAGATAGACCCTCAGGAATCGGGATCAACAGACCTTCGCCTCCTCCAAATAAAGTAAACCAGGCCATTGGGTTTTGAAGACGGTATATGTAGTGATTTAAGTGTAGTGATCTAGCCAGAGACCACGTTGCAGGTTTCAAAACAGTGCGCCGAGGTATGCTAAATGATTTTCAGGGTTTGGCCGCTGTTCCAATATTTTCGGCAAGATTATTCCGGGAGATGAAGCTTCAGAGAACAAATCGAACGACGCCGTCTTAAGATATGTTATACCCAGGATTAGGGGGCAATCCAAACGTTGCCTGTCTCCGGTTCTCCCTTCGTAGCTCATCGGGAGTCTCTTTTCGAGGTGGTGGAGGGGGAAGAGGTCCGCCTGGGGGTGCTGGTCGAACAGGTAAGCTGAAGGTTGCAGCGTTCGCGCTCACAGGACCAGCACTGTCAGGATAGCCTGAAGCTTTGGGAATGGAATTCGTGGTGACAACTCTGGGTCCCAGTCCGGGGTGCGCTGAAGCTGGTGTGCGTGAAGAAGGGTATCCGTTGCGAGGCGGTGATCGGCTCTGGCCTGAGCCATACTGATCTCGAGGGGAGATAATACCAGCGCCGCCAATTGGAATCTCGCCAGAAGTGGGAGTGTGAGAGCGTTCTTCGGGCTGGGCCGATGCCTGTGTCTGCTGGGACTGGGTGGGGGAGTCACTTGAGCGCAGAAGATCCTGAGTTGCAGGAGAAAGCTGGGGTGCCAGGTGGGATTTTCTATTGTCACGCTCCATCATACCGACAGCCCACTCCCTAAGATCAACTGGTGTACGCTTGGCGGCTTGCACGAAGTGGTCGCGATCCTGACAACATTAGCATATGCCAAAACAAACAAGATTCGAAACCTTTCTTACGAATAGCTCCTGGGGAGTTGGTCGGCGCTCAGGTTCCTTGTAAAGACACTTCTGGATCATATCGTCCAGAATGCTAGGGAAAGCATCACTCTTCGGAAGCTTGGGAGCCGGTTCGTGAACAATCTGTTGAAGCAAATCCAGAATACCGGCGGGAGCGCAATCGCCATCTGAGAGCTGCTCACTGGCCGCAAAAGGAAATTTGCCAATAGCAAGTTCCATGATGCTCAGACCAAAACTCCAGACATCCGACTTGACCGTGTACTTCTCACCTTGAATTCTTTCAGGTGCCATGTAGGTGGAAGTTCCGACAAAGGTGTCAGCGATAGAATTGACAAGCTCGCCAGAAACACCAAAATCGCAAAGCTTGATCGAACCCCTCGAGTTAACGAGAATATTGGATGGCTTAATATCACGATGCATGATATGGTGTTTCGTGTAGAGGTATGTCAAACCGCCAAGAGTCGCTTCTGCGATTTTACCCAGAACATCGACTCGAACGGGGCCAAAAACTCTCGAGACTCGGTCGAGGGAACTGGTCTGGTGTCAGCTGCCATATCGCCATGGTTGTATTAATGTTAGACTTACCCCACATCCATATATTCCATACACATTATAACATCGTTGTTTGGGGTTAAGAAAGCACCGTAGAATGTCACGATGTAGTCGGAGTGGCAGCCGTGCATAATCTGGAGTTCTCGAACAATTCGCTTCCGTATTTCTCGCTTAGCCTCCACATGAATAACCTGCCAGATAGGTTAACAGGATATTTAATTGTGTGACATAGAATACAGACCTTGCGAGCCATGACAGTTCCCGTTGTTAGGTGCTTCACTTTGCTGACCGTACCACCGTTGCCGGATCCCAACTCCTTAAGAATTTCGAGATCCTCAGGTCTCAGGTCCAACTTGTATTCGATACCGATCTCCAACTGTTCATCCTTACCTGCATCTTGGCTCCCGCTGTACTCATGATAGTTGGTTTCGGCGGTTGGTGGGGGTCGAGGGGCAGCCGCTTTGAGTGCAAGACCTTTGACGTTCTTGCGCTTCATAGAGCGCGGAGCAAATGGGTCGGCCATTCTGGAGAGTAGGGCGTTAAATTCCGCTCGGTTGATGAAAGAGGTTCGAAAAACTGAAGGCAAGCCGAGTGCTGCAAGGCCGAAGACTTAATCGAGCTGATCTTATCGTGTAGTGACTGACGATGGGAGGGCGGCTTCCGATACTTGGGACAGAGGAGTAACCGTACCGGGCCGCAAAGAATATCGATCCGACCGAGCAGTCGTAAGAGTTGCTCGTAGTGTCCAAGCTTGAATGGATGCAGTTCCAGTGAAGCGTCTTGCCCTTGTCTGCGTCGAGATGCTGCGAGTGCTGGCAGACGTTATTCTCGGGCCGTAGCGGGAGGCCCAGGTTCTATCGCTAAGAACCAAGGACTTTGAAGGCGATGGTAAGAAAATAACCCGAAGAAACCTTTCGACCAGAGTTGATCGTGGTTTATCAGGAGCGTCTATGCAAAGCGGCGCTGAAGATTGCGAATGGGGGATTTGTCCTGGTCTCTTTCACAGCTTCTGGCTGGTTAGGCGCGGACAGTGGAGGGCGGGGTCTAGCCAGCGACAACGTGACGGGAGTGGCTGGAGTTGCGCTCTGAGGGAGTTGGAGGCGTAATAAACCACAAAAGGAAGACAGCTGGGCGGTAAAACGAGTTGGGGGAAGGGGGAATAGGAGAATTTGGCGAGGAGATGTGATCACGACTTCTTTTTAAAAATCATGAAGAGTGTAAGGAGTTACAGCGACTGCCCGTCGGAATTTGAAATTATGTACCTGAAATCTAGTGGGCCATTCATTCGCCATAAGGGGAGACCATGGAGTACAGACACAGAGACCAGCATCCATTATCCATTAACACGGAGTAATTGTTGTACATCTCCCTACGAGGCGAGGCCTAAGTCTGAGTTCAACTTCCAGGAGGCGATGCCCTGTCTGTCTGGGTACCTTAGATAGGTACCTAGGCTAGGCTAGGATGGTTACTGGCCAGATGCCCGGAACTTGAGACAGTTCACGCCTCGAGCTCCGTACAGTTATCGATTCAGAATCATGATAAGATAGTGGTACATGCATGGTGGTTGGTCATTAGTCCAGACTAATACGACGCAATTCCAAACTCGGCTCAGGTATTCTGAACCTATCGACCATCTCACGAATATTTTAAAACAGTCACAATGTCGCCTTGGATACTATAGAATTACACAAAGCTCTAAAAATGTATTCTGAAGCAGCATATGTCCAAGCCGATTACAGGCGAACCTTCATTATCTCATGAGAATTTGCAATGGTCTGATCTTATGAAAGAGAAAATCCCCAACCTCGCGGGAATGTTTATGGCTGAAGGTGAACAAAGAGGTGATTAAAATAGGGGGTACAAGAGCGAACGAAGCATGAGAACAGACTATGGATCAGACACCGGGCGATTCAAACATGTTTAAACAACACTTGGACCACCAGCCAGCACACTCCTACGTCGGGGTCAAGCCCGAATGACATGCATACAAACATACCTACATGCCTAGTGAGTGGTCAAAGTATGCAAAGAATATGATAACGCTGTTAATGGCTAAAAAGTAGTCTGTGATCAATCGAGATGTATCTGAAGCTATACCACGCTGCTTGAGTCCCTTACCTTACCAACCTAGGGGTGGAGTCAGCGGTTCCTGTTAACTAAATCATCCACCTACCGGAGGCGGATTATCATGCCCCCGCTGTTGCGTCCTTGCCAGGCGCGACAAGGCTGCACGTGTAGCTCTGCAGTGCATCGCCAAAAAATCCTAAACACCTAAAGCTTTCAAACAAAAGCACAAATAATAATTTTCTTGTCTTGTCATCCTTTTATCTATAACGAAAAGCCTCGAGGTCACAAATATTCGCTCATTGTCGAAATTTTCTTGAACTCGAATCACCGACAACTAAAGCAGACAAAGAAAGCTTTGTTGCCTGCGCGGCAGCATCGCAAGTCGCCAAGATGAGCAACAGTATGCGCGACTTGATTTCCGGCGAAGCCGAACTTGATGACGAGGAGGAGGATGAGTCTTTCGATGAGGGTGGTGAGGAGCGCAGACGAAAGGCTGCCGTGGAAGACTCTAGTGAGGAGGAGGAAGATGACGACGACGAGGAAGAAGCTCGCAAGGTTGGTATCGTCATAAACTATGCACAGTGACACGCTCCCTAACTCCTTACTTTCAGGTCCGAGAAGGCTTTATTGTTGATGAGGATGAAGACGAGGAGGAAGGCGGCGAATCAGATGGTGACGTGCGCCCCGTTCACAAACGAAAGCGAAAACATCGCGACCGTGAAGAAGAGGAGCAGCTTGATGAAGAAGATCTGGATCTCATCGGCGAGCAATTCGGTGAGCGCCCGAAGCCCCAAACACAGGTGAGTTTTCCCTGACGCCACTCAAGCTACCATGACCCAGTAGCACCCCTAACTTCGCATTCAGTCCAAGTTCAAGCGCCTCAAGCGCGGCTACCGCGATGAAGAACGGGGAAATCAACGCCGTGGCCTGGACGATATCTTCTCGGACGAGGATGAAGACGCAGGCGAGCAGCGACCGTACGGCAGATCGTACCGCCAAGCCGACGAGTTCGACGATTTTATCGAAGAGGATTTCCCCGAAGACCCCGAGGAATTAGAGCAACAACGAGAAGATGCGGAGGTTGCTCGCCCCAGAGATCGCGTCATTGGAAACATCGCCGACACTGGTAATCTCGACAAGGATGCCTTGGATGATATGGAGGCCATCTTTGGTAACGGTGAAGACTACGATTGGGCGCTGCAAATGGAAGAGGAGGAGGAAGATCGTGAAAGAGAGGAACAAGCCATTGAGTTGAAGGACGTGTTCGAGCCGTCGCAACTGAAAGAGAAGCTCTTGACCGACGAAGATAACGAGATTCGTTTCACCGACGAGCCCGAGCGATTTCAACTCGACCGGAAGACCTTCAAGACCCTCCAGCTCACTGCAGAGCAGTTTAGGGAGGAGGCGAGGTGGATCACAAACCAGTTGTGGCCAAAGAAGGGTTTGGCGGCTGACCTCCAGATCCCATTCGGCAAAGCTGTTGGCAAGGTCCTCGAATTCTTCATTGTTGACGAGGTTGAGGTGCCTTATGTGTTCCAGCACCGCAAAGACTACCTGCTTCACACCAGAAAGACGCGGAACCCGAATCGCGATGACCCCGATGCGCCAGAATACGTTATCAGTGCGGACAAGCTCTTGAATCAAGACGACCTTTGGAAGATTTTGGAATTGGACATAAAGTTTCGTTCTTTTGTGGACAAGAGAAATGCTCTCGAGAAGACTTTTGAGAACCTCAAAGGATTGGGAATCCACGACACGATTGTGGAGGAGATGACTCCAGAGGCGACCACCATGGAAGAACTTCAAGATTTGCAGGACTATTTACAGTTTCAGTACGGTCCACAGCTCAAGGACCTTGCTGCTATGGCTGGAAACCTCTCATTAACAAAACGGCCGGGCTCAAAATCGAACTTGCTCGAACGAGTCCGCCAAGGCAAGGCCTATAGCTTCGTCCGTGCTTATGGAATCTCAGCGGACCAGCTTGCCAAGAACGCCTTGCGACATGGAAAGAAGATCACTCCTGATGATGACACCCAATATCCCATGGACCTGGCTGACAGTTTGGTTGACGACAACTTCGACACCGGCGATCAAGTCATTAACGCAGCTCGACAGATGTACTCGGAAGAATTGTTTGCAAGCCCAAGGATGCGCAAACACTTCCGAAATTCGTACTACCAAGCTGCTGAGATCAGCTGTCGACGGACTGAGAAGGGCCTACGCAGAATTGATGATTCTCACCCGTATTATGAGATCAAGTATTTGCAAAACCAAGCCATTGCTGATCTAGTCCACCAACCAGACCTTTTCTTAAAGATGATGAAGGCCGAGGAGGAAGGCCTTGTCACTATCAAGCTTGATATGCCAGCCCGATATGATTTCCGGAGACAACTTTATCAGGAGTTCGAGTCTGAGAACTTCAGCGACCGAGCCGAACAGTGGCGAGAAGAGCGCAAGAAGGTACTTGACCTTGCATACCCCAAACTGGAAAGGATTATTGCAAAGAATGTCAAAGAAGTCATTCGAACTTTCTGCCAAGATGAGGTGCTCAAGATGTGTCGAGAGGAATATGCAAAACGACTCGATCAGGCACCATACAAGCCAAAGGGCATGATACTAGGCACTACGCCTCGTGTCTTAGTTCTCTCCAATGGCATGGCTGATCCTGCTCGCGATCCCATTTGCTGGGCCTGGGTCGAGGAAGATGGTCGTGTGATTGAACAAGGAAAGCTTGGAAATCTCGCCAGAGATGAGCGCCAACGAGAAGAGTTCGAGGAGCTTGTCAAGCGTCGTCGACCTGATGTAATCGGCGTTAGCGGTTGGTCTGCTGAGACGACTAAGTTGGTACGTGACTTGGAGAGCCTTGTCAACGAGAAGGGCCTAATGGGCCCTGAATTTGAGGACCCAGACACCAATGACTATCGAACAGAGCCACTGGAGGTTGTGGTGGTCAATGATGAGGTCGCTCGTTTGTACAAGGATAGCCCTCGTGCACTTGCTGAGCATCCAAGTCTGAATCCTGTGACGAGGTACTGTGTTGCTCTGGCGCGATATATGCAGAACCCTATGAAGGAGTACGCTGCTCTCGGCAAAGACGTTGCTTCCATTTCTTACCACCCTTGCCAAAACCTTCTCCCACCTGACAAACTGGCCAAATACCTGGACTCGGCCATGGTTGACATGGTCAACCTCTGCGGTGTTGATATCAACGAGGCCATGAACGATCCTTACACCGCCAACCTCCTCCCTTACGTGTCTGGATTGGGCCCTCGCAAGGCAACAAGCGTCATCAAGGCCATCAACGCTAATGGCGGTGCTGTGGGCACAAGAGATGAACTCGTGGGTGATCCCGATAGCGGCAAGCTGCCTGTCGTTGGTCCCAGAGTTTGGAACAACTGCGCGAGTTTTCTTTTTATCGAATACGAGGCTACAAATCCTGCCTCAGATCCTCTTGATAACACACGAGTTCATCCTGAAGATTACGAGCTCGGGCGCAAAATGGCTGCCGATGCTCTTGAGCTTGATGAAGAGGATGTCAAAGCCGAAACCGACGAGAATGGACCCGGAGCGATCGTCCGCAAGCTGTTCAAGCAAGATGAACAAGACAAGGTCAACGAGCTAGTCCTGGAAGAGTACGCAGAGCAACTGGAGAGAAACTACAGCCAGCGCAAGCGAGCTACATTGGAGACAATTCGTGCCGAACTCCAGGCGCCCTACGAAGAACTTCGACGGAATTTTGCTCTCCTGTCAGCATCCGAGATCTTCACCATGTTCACTGGTGAGACCAAGCAGACTCTGTGCGAGGGCATGATTGTGCCCGTCAACGTCCGGGTTGTGAAGGATGACTTCGCCATTGTTAAGCTCGACTGTGGTATTGAAGGCCGTATTGAGGGCCATGAAGTCAGCCATCGTTCGTCTATCAAGGATGCCCTGACCTCGGGACAAACGACACAGGCAAAGATTTTGGACATCAACTATAAAGATTTCATGGCCAAGCTCTCAATGCGGGATGAAACCATGCGTATTCCGTACAAGCGCCCGATCAACCTCGGTCGAGATGGGTGGGACTACGCGCTCGAGGCAGCAGATAAAGAGGAGCTGCGAGAAAAGGACAAGACCACGGGACGAACCCAGCGTGTTGTCAAGCACCCCAATTTCAAACCATTCAATGGCCTGCAAGCAGAAGAATATCTGGGATCGCAGCCTAATGGTGAGGTCATCATTCGACCCTCATCGAAGGGTAACGATCATCTGGCAGTGACCTGGAAGGTCGCGGACGGTGTTTACCAGCACATTGACGTCCTTGAGATGCAGAAGGAAACAGAATTCTCGGTTGGCAAGCTGTTGCGTGTGGGCGGCAAATATACATACACCGACTTGGACGAACTGATCGTGGAGCACGTCAAGGCCATGGCGCGGAAAGTGGAGGAACTGATGCGACACGATAAGTACCAGAACCGATCCCGGGGAGAGACGGGTAAGTTTTCACACACCACACCCTGGTGCTCATAGACAAGACATGATACTAACGATAGATGTAGAGAAATGGCTTACGACGTACATCGACGCCAACCCCAACCGATCGGCTTACGCTTTCTGTATCGACACGAAGCATCCTGGATACTTTTGGTTGTGCTTCAAGGCCAGTAGGTCAGCCAGGGTGATTGCATTGCCAGTGCGCGCGATTCCACAGGGCTTTGAGCTTAAGGGGTATCAATATCCTGACATGCGAGCGCTCTGCAACGGATTCAAGCTGCGTTATCAGAATGAGTTCTCCAAGATGGGTCACCGGTAGGAAATGGAGACCTATTCTTATAATACGCACAGGTGATATGCTGAGGTGGAGAGGGAGAATTGTATTTGTTTGATTACGCAGAATGAGCATTTTCTGGGACGAGGATGACGCTGCAATTGTATTATTGAGGCGCAAGTCAACGATATTTCTTTACTAAATAAGTCAAGGGGCTGTATTAGATGTCGCCTTATACGGCAAGGGAGAAAAAAAAGCAATTAAGATAAGCTAATTTGACGTGTGCTCGATGAGTTTCATTGTATCAACAACCCAGTCATATGAAAGAACCCATGTCTGAATGTTAACCGATTTGTGTTGATAGCGAATGATCTATCTAGCCCAGGCATAACTCTTCTGCCGCGAGTGAGAAATCCATTTGTTTATGCCATCACGGAAATGAGGCAGTTCAAGAGATTCTCGAATGATCGATGTGAGAGGAGGATCTTGCTCCGTCAAACCAAAGATTAGATAATATGGTATTGATCCCGGCGATCCAGGAACACCTCCTCTCGTCTCTTCATGGTGGCAACACGTGGAGAAGCGAGCTATTCACAAGACTCCAGCCCTTGTAATTTTGTAGAGTTCTTGAAAATTTGTCCGGTCCTATATTCAATGTCAGAGAAAAACGCTGAAAAAAGATCTCTTCTCCTTGCAATGGGTGCATGACCAAGTCTGACGTTAAGCTAAACCTAACGATGAGCTTCCTTAGATCTTATCGTTATCTAATGAACATGATCATCACCTTCATCATATTTCTGTGTACACCGAGCTGACTATCGTCCCTCCTTGCCCCCCTTGGTTCTTAGCAGCCTATGAAGTAGGTATTGTTTGACATAGCTCGACGATGAAATGGAGCAGTGGGGAAGGTCACAAGACCTGAACTTGAATCTTTGGCGGCGTTTCTAGAATCGAGAAGATCCTGTTCAGGGGTTTTATTTGGATCATGAGGAGCAGGCGTGTCATGAGTAACGATCTGGATATGGAAACCCTCACACGGATACTAAAAACGGATCCAAGACATCAATACAGGTTAGCCCCTGAATGATTGTTAGCGCGATACCTATTTATAGAGGTTTAAGGAAGATTTTACTATTTTCCTTAACAATTAAGCCTTTTTAATAGAAAAAAAGGTAGTTAAATAATATTTACTAAAATTCTATCTTTTTTTTTCTTTAAGCTTTATTATATAAAAAATTTAAGGAAAAATAGAGATATTCTTGCTTTTTATGGTGAGGCTGTCACGAGGTAACAATTAAACAGGGGGTATACTGTATAAACTTTCAAAAGAGCTCTGAATTCGATTGGCGCCTGTAATTGGCGGGTTTCGGTGATATACAAGATGGGTCGATGGTGAGGGGTCATGTGCTCTTCAGCTTGATGTTGGCGCTGAGTCAGTCCTGGCAAGACCCATTGATCGCTGGTGGTTGAGTTGAGCAGACACGAGGTCGGAGCGGTATCGGAGATGGTATAGTCAAACCTTGAATACCATGGTGACTGCAACTCTCGTTTCTTGAGACTCATGATTCCTCCATGGACGAACGTAGACTTTTCGGCCGGAGATAGTGGGGCCGAGTCCAACACCGCATGGTAGGTGTATTAATCACTGTTTGAGATACCTGTAGGGTGGAGGAGTATAGCTTTCTATTGTATGCGAACCATAGTTATCGCAGTGTATATCTTGCAGGATGTCCCCTGTGCCATACCACTGTCCCACTAAGCTTTATTGCCTATTGCTACAAGCCATTGTCATCTATAACATCACTTTCAGTGGAAGACAGCCTGACGCCGGTACCTGCGTGTCTTACCGGCTTACCCCAGATCTGGTCCCATAGTTTTAAGCGGGGTTATCACTTGTGTGTATGACTTGGTGGGCCAAGGTGGGCCAAGCCGCCAGCCTCCGAACCTGCCACACAGCCATACCCAAGCCAAGAAAGAGTCAAAGACTAATAAGACCTGTACTGATTGTAGAAACATGTTGATCTCAATTGCGTTGATACTGAGCCTTGAGGCCAGTCACCTGCTAAAGAATTGTTAGGAAGGACGGCAATACTCTAATTCAGATTAGCAAGAATCGAGTTTTTATTTTTGTTTTTATTTATTTAGGGACCTTGCATTATCAGTAACTTCAATTATATTGGTGTTTGAGGGAACCCAATGGCAATTCTAAAAAAGATTCAAAAGCACTGGAGCACGTAACATGACCCCTCTTTGCTTCAGAGAGTTTAGAGGAAGCTAGGGGCTGAATTCAATTCCACTCATTGATCGGGAGAGATGGCACAGTGAGTGACCTCATGATGGAATTGAATACTTTTCGCGTTTGTTGCGTTCAATTGAAGTCTTACTTCAAATCAGCCAGTTTCTCTGCCGGTCTGCATCCTCAGCAGCTGGAATGCTAGAAGTGGTTCCCCGCAGTTGAACTCCGTGACGTGCTTTAAGATGTACCTACGTTAAACTGTAGCTTCCATGGTAGGTGTTGTTGGACCACAGAGTTCGGCCAACGGCTGCTTGCGAAAGGTCACGCGATAGCGATAGGCGGTCGGGATGGGGACATGCGAGGCCCACTTATTGGTACCCATCAGTAGATGAGCCGGAGGTAGAGAGGTGGGTCCTTGATTAAGGCGCCGTCGCACTTGCACTGGGTGAATCTGCAGGCCTGGCCTTTCCATGATGGACCATGATGAGGCAAGGTCAATCAAGTCCGTTCATGAGCTGACTCCGCGTCCCGTCTTTGCTCTCCGTAATTCGCAATTGTCCAATTGAAAGCTTCTCGCCTTCTGGGGAGCTTCCGTAGCTTCCCTTCGTCTATACTGATGCTGCGTAGGTGGGAAGGAGCATCGGACTGCAATGAGCTGATTGGATACAAGGTGATGCCATCACGCATCGTCCCTCGCGTGACTCTCGGGATATAAAGGCAAGGTCCCCTTCCAAGCAAGAAAGTTCCTAGATCACAGACAAACCCTTTTGCTTCATCTCGAATCAATCAATCAATACGCTCTTACACACTGATATTCCTGCTACCACAAACCCTCTTCCTCATAAACAATCCTCCCCTCCACTCTCCTCTCCTCTTCTCAACTCAACTGAGTTCTTGACGACCTACTGGGAGATTCGACACCACGTCTTTCAATTCCACGCAAGCTCACGCATCCTAATTCTCGACCGCGTACTATCGAACCGCCTGGTGCCAGTTCTGAACCATCTTCATTGTTCAAAAGTGAGTTTCTCATATTATTCTCAGTCTTATTTCTTGTCTTAGTACCCTGCCCGTTTCCCCTTTCTCCGTATAGCGACGTATATACACGGAGTACTTGGACACCCCGCACCTGGCGTAGCTTAGGTAGACTCACTCACCCCAGAGACATGCTCATGTTCGTTGGTGACGTTTGGCCCAGAGTCCAATCCGTATAAAAACAGACGAGCTCCCCTTTCAATTCTCGCGTACCTCAACCCCTCCTTCCATCATTCATCATCCTGATCATCATTTCACATCTCTCATCTTGTCAAACCATCACAAATTGACCTCTTCTTCATATCACCGTCGCATAAAATCCAAAAGTCAGACTATGACCCTTCCTTGTCTATGCCATAGTACTAACAGGTATTGTTCACAGTGACCCGATCTCACAAGGCCAACGACCGGGACCACAAGGGTATTGCCGAGGGAACCGCACTCCCTACCGAGACTGTCCCTCGTTTCTTTGGCAAGAACGGCTTTGCCGATGTCGACCCAAAGAAGGTGAAGAAAGACGGCTCTGGTCGAGGCAACTGGTATGTTTAGCTCAATGCACCCCCATGTCTCCGTCTCCACATTTCACTTACACAACCTGCAGGGGAACCGTCAACGACGACATCGCTGACGAACAATTCACCTTCACAAACACTAGACGTCGCTCCAACAGCAGCAGCTTCTCTCACCACGTGAGCGACTTCAAGACCAAGTTTGAGGTCAACGAACCCGAGCCGGTTTTCGAGGAGTCCCTTCACGGCCCCGAGGAAGAAGACCAGGAGGATCTCACGAAGACCGACTCTTCCGAGAGCGGTCGGTCCTCATCCTAATCAGATTATCGAGTCCTTACCAAGAGATTGGTAGTCACTGTTTGCTGCCATATATAAAATGGCAGCGGCATCTTTGAGGGTTCACATGTATTGGAATTGCGACGCGAGCTTGATCTTTACTTTACAACTACGAAACGACACGAGACTAAACGAATAAAATAACAGAAACCAAACTGCCTTGTGGTGGGGTCATCGGATGAAATGGCTTGGGGAATATGGAAAGGGATATCGGCGGAATTGTTAAAACCCTCGTGACTAACAGATCTCTACGTGGATCATGCATGGCTTTATGACCGCCTGCGAAAGTAGTATTTTCCAGCGGAACGATGTATTACTGTATAACTATTTTAGCTTTCGCATCGAGGCGAACAATAAGGCTACTTGTGGCCGAAACTAGGCACAGCTAATATAACCAGAGGCCTTTTCAATTTGAAAAACTCAAGTGATGGGAAGAAGTTTCACCTCGTGTTCAACTCCCACCTAAAATAATTGCGTAATTGACCAAGCTCTTAATTCATTAACTATACTTGCATCCCCAACTTGCCTCCCCAACTTGCCTCCCCAACCTGATTGTGCAGTGTCGATCACCACTTTGTTCACATGATGATCAAGTTAGAGTAATGCCATGAAAGCAAAACGCCCAGTGCCGCTCACAATACATCTAGCGCTGGGAGCAGCCTTTTGAGATCGAGCGTGCTGAGTTTTACGCAGGGTCAGATTCTGGTACAACCCACTTGCTTCAGGAATTACAGTATTAGAACGAGATACTGGTTGATGAGAGTAATAAGGAGCCAAGCAAGACGACAAAAAGTAGTTGATGTAGACATGTGCTTTTGCAACATACTTTGTTGGATGCCTGATGCCCTTGTTTGTATGTATTTGCTGATTGCCCTAGTTGCCTATATGCAGGAAGCCTCCTTAGGCAGCTATAGGCACCAGATGTAAACTTGGTGTAACCTCTATAAGGTTAATACCTCTAAGGACTATTATAAATAGTCATCTTTCTCTTTAGCTAGCTTAGATGAATCAAGCTTCTTTCCTTCACTAAGTTACTTTCGTGTTATGGCTGTAGCGTTCTTGAAAGTCTCGAACATAGAAGTGTCCGGGTTTCCCATCGTGCATATATTTCCAACATAATCTCAGCTCGATGGCGTTGAGGTCGTTGTCCTTATCTCTGTTGAACTTTACCTGCCGCTTCACCAGTGGAGTGC